GCAGGCAGGCAGGCAGGCAGGTGAAGAGCCGGGGCGGAGAGAGATAGATAACGTTAGAGAGCAGACGACGGGAGAGGGCGAGTTGAAGAGACAGAGACAGAGACGGAGACAGAGACAGAGACAAGAGACAGACGGGGGAGCGAGGTATTATTCTCCGGACACCGCCGGGCGTGTCTCTTCCACGGTTCTCACAGATAGATGAACGTAGTCGGCAGTGATTGGCCGAAGGGATGACCTCAGCAGCCGCTCTGGTCTGGCTGGTTGGATTTTGGGCTCGGCGCAAAATGAAAAAAACGCAGAGGTCTCTGGGCTGGTGCTGCTGGTGCTGCCGGTGCTGGTGCTCAGCCTTCATGCCCCAGCGCACACCAAAAACCCTTCACAGCACAGCACAGCACAGCACAGCACAGCACAGCACAGCACAGCACCAGTGCATACCTGCTGAACCTTGAAGGGCCGTCCTTTAGCAGCCCTTAGCTAGTGAAAAGTCGAACCGGGCCTCCCCTTGCCCAGCTGAGTGACACCTCCGATCTGCCGCCAAACCACCTGAGCTAAGTTACCTCGGATGAGCTAGAGCCTACCTAGGATGGGTTTAGAACGGATAGATTTGCAGCGCTACGCCCTCCTCGACACAGACAGACGCAGATACAGACACAGACAGACAGAGACACACGCAAGAGGGAAGCTGCAATGATGTCAGAATGAGCCTCTTCAAAGCTTTCCAAGACTCGATTGCTCTTTCCAAATGTGACCTATCTCTCTTCTCTTCGTGCCCTGTGCCCTCCTCCCTCAGCCTCCTTCCCCCTTTCCTCCTCAGGCGCGTCACTCGTGCCTCACTTGGCTCTCTTGCCTCATTCTGCATGTCTGAGGTCTAGAATGGCAAGAGGGGGTCCGGTCAACCCTTCCTGCCTTCCAAACTGAGCCATACCTCATGCAGTTACCAATGCCCACGGCGTGGTAAGTGAGCCCGCGACTTTCCCTGCTCGAGTCAATTAGACTACTACCTAGGTAATTACTTCCCTGGGAGCTGGGTACGGTGCGTAGGTAGCATTGGCTAGCAACTGCCCAGGTAGAGCGCATGCACGTATTTTGATCTTCATTACGGGCGGGAAAATCTCAGGGTCTTCTGCCGGCCGGGTTGCACCTGCACCCCTGCTCTCTACTACCTACCTAGTACCTTAGGTACCTATTACACAATGCTCTTCACCTCCAAAGTGTCAGCTAGGAGTCAATTCTCAACTTCGCCCAAAGTGCGTCCGATAGGAGGTATGGGGGCATAGATTATTACACTTGTGTTTGAACTACCCTAGCGTACCGTATCTCTGGCTCCCGTCATTGCTGGAGTCGCCGTCAATGCATGGCCCTATCCCCCGGGGTGAGCAACATAGCGCCGCATATCGTCGTGATAGTCCGCGCCCTACTGCGTAGCAAGAGCCACTTCGCACTCTCGAAATGCAGTAGGCATCCTGTCCTACAACCGATAATTCCTTTTGCAACGCCATAGCCCACTTGAAACTGCTTTCGGCGCTTCCAGAATAATTCCCTTCCCTCCCCTCTACCTCACTTTGCTACACCGGCTTAGATAATTGCATCGTACGAGGCCAAGGGCGCCGCCTCTCCTGTTGCCTCAAGTCTCACGCAGGCTTGAGACTGTCGCTTGATCTACCGACAAAAGGGTCACTGTATCGATATGCACGAGAGGCATGCATCTAATTGTCTCCACCGGCCAAGAACGGTCGGTTTCCCGCGTCTACGGACCGCTGGTGCTCAACCGTCACGGCTATGACCATCTCGCAACGTTTTTCAGCTTCCCCAGTCATCATCACGGCGTCACCTTCCTGCCTGTAGTGCTTCAAGATGGCTGGTCTTGGCGGGAACGTTGCGACGATGAACCGCAAAAATTCATCGATCTCCGGCAAACGTCAACAATCTATTTCTGGTATAAACATGACCACATTACCAGCCCGTCACGCTTCTGCATGGTGGCCCCAGCTGCCAGCTCGCATTCCCCAATGTAGGCAATGCGGGCTGTGACATACGGAGGTCCCGTCTCATCAACAATAGCGCCCTGGACGGTGATGGTCCCAATAGAGCCAAACCCCCGGTACGCAGGAATGGACGAGATGCTATGTGCTGTACACTACAACAGAGTTTCCCGGCGATTCACTTACCCAAAACAACTGGTGCCGAGACCATCGAGACATGAACACTAGAACACAACGTGTCGAAGAAGGCCCCCTGGCTCAGGGAGCGGCATACGGGCGTAGCATCTCGGCTACGAGAAGGCGCTTGCAAAGCTTTCTTCAGATGATGGGGTCAGTGGATCTCGCCTGGCCCGTCGTCTAGAAACATCCCTTCATCCCACGCATCACGACGGGTTGAAACAACTTAATGCGCGTCTGCCACGCCGCCGCCCGCCCGCCAGACATTCTGTAGGTTGGCAAAGGAAGAAGTGTTTTGCCGAATGCAGGCCATCTCTTCTGGGTATAGTTGCGGCGAGGCCGCGAGCTGAGGCGCACCTGAACCTCACTAATGACCAATGATAGCGCTTCTCGTCCCACCAACTTTACCCCGTTTAGGTAAAGCGTTCCTCTGCCACGCGGGCGGATGAAGCCCAAGCTTGGACCACCTCTGGACAAATTTTCTGGACAGCACATGCATGCACGCATGCATTTCGACGACCACCGTTCTTCAAGTCCTGTCGTGAAGCAACTACTCCTACGGCTACCTCACTTGCTCGCTCTAAATTGCTAGCAAAGGTGCTTGCACCAGTCCGCTACTAGCTCTGACGGTCCGTTAGTGGCCATGGTTTCAAGTGTAGATGCCGGAACAAAGCCTCCTCGTGGAAGCGGACCACGCCATTGAAGAGTATCGAAATCTCATGGAACTTTCCATTGCAGTTTGCGAGAAACGGACATCGTGTCTCTTCGCAAATTTTACAATGACGTTTTCCATCCTATCTTACTCGGCTCATCCTTTCCGCGGAGATCTTTTCCTGTTCCTTATTGTCGTTGCATTAGAGTGACGGGAGTCATAGCTCTAAACAAGGATAACAAAGCAGTCAGCAACAATTAGACCGCTGAACGGCCCTCCTCCAAGCTGACTGGGACAATACCAGTGTTGCACATTGCTACTATTGTGCGAACCAATTGGACTGGCCGACTAGCATAGCCCTACACCTTCGTCCCATGGTGCAGGAGCTCATGAGAGCTAGCAGCCCTACACGTTGTAGACACATTCTTGCATGTTTTCTCTCTCCGCATGTTGTTCAGCCAGTGAGAACTCTCCGGGGCGCATCTTAGCTTCATCTCTTTTTGCCCTCAAGTACATGGGCTTTGCTGCTTTGGGCCAGTTGGGGCAGTGCCCCAGCATGCTGAAGTCTCTAGTGGAACGTTTCACAGTCAATCCAGATAATCGGGATGCTCGTCTTTGGTCACAATGTCTCGGCTGCAGATATCAGCTTCATGTCTCAGATGACGCTATGCTGTTTAAGTTAAACGTGCAGCGGCAAGTCGAGACGCCGTTTCCCAAGCCTCCCCGTCTGGACCGCCAACAGCATCGGACGGTTTTTTGCTTTACCGCTCTTTCCACACCGGCGTATGCTATCTCGACAGAACGATTACACCTGTCTCGTCGTCTGCAGCCACTCGCTGTATCCTTCCTGAACGATGACGAGGCTTGAAGGCTGCGAGGGAGCCGTCCCAGCTGGCCAGAGCCTCGAATCTGTCCTTGGTGCAGCTTCAAAGCACCGTCCAAGCTATGAGTTAAAGCCAGATACTACTTACATGCCTTAGGGCTGACCACGATACCCTCCATCTTTGTCTCAGTCTGCAGAATCACACCGACTGGCTTCCAAGGGACTGGGACTGCATGGCCCCCCCCAAAGCCCAACCCCTCCTCAGCAGGACGCTAATGTGCTCGGGGCCGAGGCCTCACGCCGTTCCCCCGTTCGAACCGTCGGGGTAGGAAGACGTTATGAGGCAGTACCCGGAGCTACTCAGGTAAGGCTTCAGCCCCAAAGAACTACCGGCAGCTTGGACCGCGGCCCGTGCGAGTACGGCGTGCATGTTTCTATATCGGGACTCGGTCTGTAGATTCACTGGTCGAGGCTTCGGTCCCCTAACCTAAATTGGCAAAACCATCCCATAAGATGTCATCACGAAGTTGACAGACATCTCAGCCTCAGCATGATATTTTGTACACTTCCAGGAGGAGATTTACTTCCCTGTCAGCGACGGAATGGGTACAGCAAGATATCTTCAAATCTTCTTCTACGTTCTAAACTGGTAGCGCTAGAATTGTAATGCGGGAAAATACCAATGACATTGGCGAGCCCATTTCCTTCCTTCTACCTGCTAGCAAATGCCACAATGTCTCATGGAGCGGGCCGTTCTTGGTCGCCCTCGTGTTTCCACCCGTCGATACTGTGATTTCCTTTTGCAATCTGCCCATTTTCCTTTACCCAATGCACTCTGCTTGCCCAGGATCTATCTGACTGGTCCACCAAGCATGTCCTCATTCGCATGACATGCGAATCACTTGTCACAAGCTGTCACACGCGGGTGTCCTTGTCCTGCTTCCGACTCACGCATCTGCCATCTTCACGTCGCCGTCTTCCTCGTCCTCCTTGCGCATCAGGTACGCCATCATGGACCACACCAGCCTCATGGCCTCGACGCGCTCGTCGGCGCGGAAGAAGTCGTACCACCGGCTCCGCAGCACCTCCACGGTGCCCCAGCTGCGCGCGCCGCCGCCCCCGGCGACATCCGGGGCGCCGTCAAACACCTCCAGCAGGCGCGCCGGGACCTTGACGCGCAGGATGCTGATGTGGTGGAACAGCGCGCTGACGACGAAGACGTCGTCGTGGTCCGCGCCCCGCCGCCGCCCGATGGCCATGTATTTGGTCTTCTTGTCCCACGCCGCCGACGGCGGGCGGATCATCCGGTAGTTGTCGTAGATGGCCATGTTCTTGCGCGCCTTCTTGGCCAGCGGCTGCCTGTCCCGACTACTGCTGCTGCTGCTGCTCCTGCCGTTGCCGGCTAGGATGGCAGCCGCTGACGATGACGATGACGATGACGCCGGCTGCGGGGGCGGCGCGTCCTTGTCGCCGAGGGCGATGTCGTCCCCGTTCTTGAAGTCCACCTCGCGCCCGATGGGCCCGCCCGGTCCGCCGCCCCAGCGCGGCTTCGTCGCCCACCACGCATCCTCGCCGATGCGCTTCTCGGTGCGGCCCTCGCGGGCGCGGTGCTGCGCCGTGACCAGGGCGGCTATGATCTCGCGCGCAAAGTCGATCGTGGAGTCCAGGTCTGCTGCGGAGGAAGAAGTTGGCGACTCCGTTTCCGACGACGGCGGCGGCGGCGGCGGCGGGAAGGATGTAGAGTGTCTTGTGCTCACGGCCGCCAGGGGGCCCTCAACGATGCCGGCCCGGGCTTGCTCACGGGTCCGGGGGGTGCGGAAGATGAAGGTACAGCCGGACGAGAAGTAGGAGCTACGCGGAGGGGCGCCCGGTTGTGACGTAGGAGTAGATTGTGGTGCGGTCATATAGAGTCTCGGCTCCGTCCTCGGAGCAGAGACATTACATCCAAAGTCGTAGGCTACGAGCTTCAGAAAGGCAGTGATAAGGTTGATACGGTACTCTGGTGGCATCTGATACCCGGCTCCGGTACGGAAGAACACTGGGCCCTCCTGTGCCGTCTTCTCGCTATCACTATCGGATGCCGAGGATGCTGCCTCGCCCTTGTCTTCCTCCTTTGGTTTGGCTTCCGGCGAGTCTGGGGGTTTCGGTGCCGACGTATCGTCCCAAAAGGTCCCGAACGCCTCCAAGTTGCGGAAGAACTCGAACGAGTTGCCCAGCCTCACCTGCGTCTTGCCCGGCGGCGGCTGCATTCTCCTGACGGCCCGGAAGGCAAGCTCATTCTGAGTCGACAGCTCACGCTTGCGGTCCAGGTAGACGAGCAGCCCGGGCGAGAGGGCGCCGTTGTTGAGAGGCTGCCGTACCTTCTCATTGGCATCTCGTGCCTCCTCCTGTGATAGAGAATCCCACTGCTCAAAGTCCGGTATGTAAGCCGGATCCGGGATGATGTCCTTCGGCTCCGCATCTGGTATCACGTGGATCCCGAGAGCCTCGAAGTGGGAGACGCTGATCTCAGTCGGGCGGATGATGCTCTGCAGGAGGCTTGTGACGGGAGTTGCAGGCTCTGAGCTGGCGGGCCGGTCTCCGCCTCCACTTTCGCCAGCCTTGGGCTCGCAGTGTGGGAAGTTGACCGGTGTCGGTGGAGGCACATCCTTTGGCGGTCTTGCAGGTGCCGTGGGTGCAGGAACTAGAGTTGTGAAGATGAAACCGTCAATTGGAAAGTTCGGAGGAGGGGGCTCCCGACGCAGTGCTCGGGAGTGGTTGTCATGGACATGGTATAGTATGGTATAGTAAGGTATGGTGGTGTAGTAGCTGGGGGGACTGAGCGCATGGGCAGGATAGATGACGATCATACGGCAAGTGACCCAGGGAACCACAGTCAACTAGACTCGGGATGCCATGGAACTCTAGAACACACACATTGCCAAGCATTGACTACACGCATGAGTGAAGAAGTGAAGAGCTTGTGGATGCCTCACGGGCAACAACAACAACGACTTTGCGACCTCGAATCCTCCAAGGAGACGGAGATGAGACAAGACATCAATGCTGGGTCACTTGCGCTAGGACACGTGCTATGTGTGGCATGGTCACATTGTGGATCGTGAGAAGCACATCGAGAATGTCGGAGGATATGTGTGTACTGAGACGTGATGCGAAACTAAACTAGACAATGAATGAATGGAATGAATGATCGAGTGAACTTACTCAGATTCGCGAAGCTCCCGAACATTTTGACGACCGGGCCGGGGGACGACGGGAGCTAATGACTGTTGGTAGGTAAGGTACAGTGAGATCCTCTTGGTGGCGGCTGTCAGAAGACGTTGGGGTAGGTAGGTGGTTTCTTCGATCTGATCTAAAACTGGCGTGTGTCGTGTGTCGTGTGCGACTCGGAGCCTCAACTTCTTTCCAGTCGTCCTTTACTCGCTCACCCGCAGCTCACCCTCGTGTCTGTGTGGGCAGGTGTGACAGTGAGCCCAGTGCACATTAATTAAGGTCGGCAATAAGATAGGTAATAAGGCTGTCTTGAAAGGGTCCTGTGTATCAGGAAATGTGCCGGCGGTTGACGATCAGGTCCAAGAGCCGGCGTGACCTGAGAGTGTTTGGTCGAGGAGTTGGGTAAGGTAGGTGGGCGGGCTGGCTCTTCGTGCTTCTTTCGATTTGGGTTGGTGGGTTGCCCTCCCGTTCGACCCCGCGTTGTCTTGCGGTACGGCCCCTCTGTGCCTCTCTCCCGGCCTCCAATCGCAGGCTAGTCCAGGACAATACGGCGCAATACAGTTGAGGTCAGTGCAGGGTTGCAACCGGGTATCTATCTACAGCACAGTACATGGCTAAGGTGTCTTATCACTTGCGACTGAATGGCCAAGTGCAGGTGGAAGAGTTGGGAGTGACCACATGTAGAAGGAGGCAGCATTGGCATTCCGTTCTTTTTATGATATGTCAGTCTTTCAACGATCCAACCTCATCCATGGATATTGACATCATGTTGGGCCATCGATAGACAACCTCACTGATCTAATGATGCTGGTGAGGTGGTCCAAAGCCTCAGAGCCTCAGAGCCTCAGACGGGCGCTAAGTTAGTCAGTCTCAAATAGCTTGATCTCTCCACCTTGGGGTGAGTAAGGGTCTCCAAAAACCCCTCGAGATGGGCTGACATGCTGCACGGCATCTGGGATCGTGAATGGACTGAAAATTGAAGGAAGCATCATGGCCAATTCACGGGCCATGGCATTGTGCGGCTTGACTGCAGAGCCAGCGATATGGTAATCATGGACCAGCAAAGCATTTGTATACGAACTGTCTGGCCTCCTCGCATCTCCGTCTCCTTGTCTTTGTCCTTGTTCTCAAAATCCTGATGATCCTGCATGCAGAAACCCACTCTGGCCATGCCCCTCCTGGAAGTTGCATGGCACAGCGTGTCTCATTATGTAAAAAGTCAAGTCACCCAGCTGTCTTAATTTCCACCTGCCTAGCCAGCCTGCAAGACATTTGCTTGTCCTGTCATTTTGCGAATGCGCCGGTTTGTGACAGGCGTCTAATTGACCTGATAGAGCGGCCTCTTTACGACGTACAATTGCCAGCACCTCCGCGCTGGTCGCTCGATGGACCAGGCGATCGTGCCGTCTCCAGGTCCGCAGCCAGGCGCCATGTCGAAATAAACAAGAAGCGGTCGTCTAGCCCGTCGATCTCAGAATTTGAGTTTGTCAGGTTTGATGTGCTGAAGATCCAGCACGGGGGAAACATGGAAACAGAACGGTCACCTCCACACGTTGCCTGGCCGGTGGGAGGACCGGAATGCTTCAGACCCGGCCGCTCCAGCCGGGGCTTTCTCGTCCTGTGCAGGGACCGACGCTTTGCATCCTGCCACTCACTGGTCACCCATCTCGACAAAGCAGAGGCTCTTTTCGTGGTAGTAGCTAGGGATCGCATGAACGGTATCGTGAGCTCCTCACTACAAGCTCCGGTCGGTAGTACTGGCGAATGGTGGTCTTTTGATGACTTCAGAATAGATGGCTTGACCTCACCATTGTAGAATGAATGGCACGGCCCACTCCCAGATCGAGCCGGTGCCCAGATCGCAGAAGACAAGAATAAATCAACAAGGCGACTTTATTTGAGGGACGCCAAGGCGCCATCGTCGTCTCCCGCGACGCACCGAACAGGTACAGCATCGCGGTCTGAGCGGGCGGGCAGGCATGAGACAATGACCTGTTCAGCAAGGCCGAGACACGAATCCCAAGTGAGAACACATCATAACTTAATCATATACGCAGAGAAACCTTCTTGCAAATGCGGCCTGGATTTGTGCTTGATTAGGTTCGAATTCACATTGTCCGTTGAAGCATTGGGAATTGCTGCAGCTAGACAGCAGCTCAAGATCCATCCTGGCAGTGAGGCAGGGGCCCGTTGTCGGCGAATTTGTGTGTTTTAACTTGATTGCCCCAGATTCGGTCTTTTTCTTTATTTTAACAACCCCCATGAGGCTTGCACCGAAGGAAACAAGACCGTTAGCAAGCTAGAGATGCCAATTGAACTCTTTTCATCGTGGACGCTGCATGTTTCTTCTCCGCTGTGAAAATGAGTCTTGTCTCATGGAAAAGCGACATGTCTTGTGTTACATAAGGCCGGTTTGCAGGGCCCAGGCGTTGTCCTCGATTGGATTGGGCGCCTCAGGGCAAGATTTGGTGCTTCAAGATTGTCGCAGGACAGGGGTCTGCACATCAAAGCGGCCCTTGAACCACACCAACAAGGACGCAACCCCGGCCCCCAATTGAGCCTCCTTGCCGTCAACCTCAGACTCTCTAACATGTCTGTTCCTTGGGTCTGCTGTCTCGACCAATCCCACGCCGCCCTCCGCTACCATCAAACAACGATCAGTCTCCACGCCGTCACGCATCAATGCTCCCTGCACGGCCTCTGCTCCACCGTTTGGAGCGTCCCTGGGACAGTGTCCTCAATGGCAAAATGCCCCAGCTACGGTAATCATCAGACTAGGGGCACGACGGCGAGAAGCAGGAGGACGAGTAGGACGAGGCGGCGCATCGAGGCCAGTCCCAAAGGAGGCCGTGGCTGTACTGTCCCAGGATAGTTCCGGGACCCATTGCCTGGTGCCCTCTGGGTCTGTCGCAGGCGGGATCAGTATCTTCCTTCGACTTTCTCTCCAGATCTTCCATTCTTCCCGTCTCTCCATCGTTTCTCTCCAATTCATCCGCATCACTGTCATCGTGTCGTTGGCATTTTAGCCGTAGCCCGTTGTTTGATTCTTCCTTTCGAGAAGGAAATATTCACTTCATCCTCTCCTTTAGATCAGCTTGATGATCTTGATTCTTCTTTGATGGCCTAAGAGGCCGGTTCTCCTTTTTCTTCCCTTTGATTTGTTTCTTCAGTTTTGTTTCTGAATTAGAGCCTCTTCCATTTCTACTCTTGGGCGACTGGAATCGCCCAGACGGCAGCATCCTGCGAGACGATCCTTCACCATGTCGAGTTCGAGTCCAAACCTCCCGGAGGGGGCATTCATTACGAGTATCAATGGGAAAAGGTGTACGGCAGTGCCAAGGTCGGCCAACAACAGTGGTGGCGGGAACACGAACACAAATGCGAACAACGCGCAACAAACGACGACGACGGAGGAACAGAGGACGACTGCGGCCTCAGTGGCCGTAGAAACTACAAGCTCTTTTACGAGTACGACGAGCACCTCCTCCCTAGAAGAGAATGACACCACGTCCACTACATCTAGCACATCCACATCCACCTCCACTTCAAGCTCCTCAACGTCCACATCCACATCAACCTCAATAGATGAAGCACAGGAGACGGATCTGTCGCCTTTACCGGCGGCAGCTGCATCTCCCGATGACTCTTTTCCCCCAGTCAATGTTGCCGAGACTACTACATCAGTGGCAACATCATCATTACCCCAATTCTCAGTCATCCCTACACAAGCTGCACCTGAGGCGTCTGTAATCCAGACCAGTAAAGCTGATACCAGCATCACAGCCACTTCTGCAATATCCGCAGCTGTTGGATCAAGCACAGATGTACCTCTCGCGCAGAGCGAGCTCACACCTTCAGTAGCGGACGCAACTCCGCTATTCACAACAATAGGAACAGCAAAATCCTCATCTACGGCGGTTGCTGGTGGAGCCGCAGTAGGTGATTCAAACAGCAATACAGGTACTGTCAATGCCGTTCCGTCTTCAAATGGCCGGAGCACAGAGTCGACAATTGCCGTGGCTGGAGGTGTCATTGGAGGCGTGGCGGTTATCAGTCTGATCGCCTTTTTGATCTGGTTCTGGAGGAGACGAACCATCAGGAAGCGGAGGAGCACCCTACTGACACCCCTGTCGGTGGATCCATCTTATGGACCAGGGGAAAAGGCCGGATACAACATCGATCGTGGCAGCATTGGACCAACTCCACGGACGGAGAAGCTGAGGGCAGCACTGGGAGCCAACCTGTCCAAACTCCGAGGACGCTTCAGCCAGATGACGACCCGCAGCGGCTCTAGCACACCGTCAGTCAACATGAACCGTGGGAACTCGCAGTTTATGGAACCAGTGAGCACACACAGCCGGCATAACTCGTCAGCCCTTCCCGGTGCACCGGACAACTTGACGGCCAAGGACCGCTTTATGGACTGGTGGAGCCACCTGACGGCAGATATTGGATTCAAATGGAAGATGCGCAACCCACAGAGCATCAACAGCAGCAACGACCCCTTCTCCTCCCGCGGCATGAGCGAGAAGAAGGCACCGCTGGCGAACAAGCCTGACTTTTTAACGCTATTAAATATGGATGATGGAGAGTTAGATCGTGAGGCCCAGCGCCGTCGTGCCAGCCGCATGAAGGGCAGCGGGTCTTCGGCGGAGCATTTCCTCGGCGGCTTGAGCTTGAACTTTGGGGACGATCCCTTCAGTGACTCCAATGCCATAGCTCATCAAAGCGCGAAGCCAGCACCCCTCACGGTGTCACAAGCCAATAATCCGTTCAGTGATGCGAACGCGATCCCGGGACCTGTGGTCCCCAAGCCGTCTACTTATGTAGCCGACATTCGCCGCTCCAGAGGCCAATCTGTCAGCGGACCTCCGCCCAATTCGACGGACCCTCGACGGTCAAGGGGCAAGTCGATCGGTGGCAACAGACCACCATCCAACACGGCCGGCATGGGCATGTACGGCCGTGAGAGCACGGCCAGCGTGGACAGCTTTGCCACGCGCCGAAACAAGTTCCGCTCAGACCCGTTCGATCTCGAGCGGCCGGAGCTGCTGTCTCGACCCAATGTGCCGTCGTCAAATGTCAGCACGGCGGGCAGCAGTGCACCGCGCTTCAGCGACTTCGAGGGCAGCAACAGCCGCTTTAGCAACGGCGTGGGGATGAACCCTGCTGCGGTGAGGAAGCCGGTGCCCACACACTCGAGACGCGAGAGCTATAGTTCTAAGTACTCGAGCGGTATCAGCATGGGCGATTGGAGTGATCCAGGCCCGGACGTCGGACCTGCAGCCAATAGATGGGACAGCAGCACGAGGTCATCACCGACAGAGGGCTGGAGAAATGAGGAGGAGCAAGAGCAGAGCACGAGGACAGGTAACGGGCGACGGCAGAGCCAAGGCAGCCAGAGGAGTGTAGGCAAGGCACTATGAGGTGTCGATGCCTTCTGCTTTTACGATGTATACGACGATGGGAGGAGAGTGGTGTGCAAAGGGTACCGAAAAGGATGGCTCAATGGCGTTACGGTGTCCGACTACTGGTTCTTGCTCGTCCTATCTTCAGCTCTGCCGACGCTGCTGGGGCGCGGGTGGTCCGGAAGCGAAGTCTGCTTCAATTTATTGTCTAGTATCTGGTCAAGAAGAGGGAAGCAGCACGGCTGTGGGTGTATATCTGTACATGGAAAGTGGTCTGGGGGATTCAGGACGAGGCATCGCTAGGTGATAGCACAGATACCCCCCGCTTAGGATAGCGAGCGGATGGGGGAACACACTCGCTTTTTGGCATTTGCAAGGAGTAGAAATCAAAAACATTGATCACATGCATCCCAGTAATCCAGCGTGATCGCACAAGAAAATGGACCAGATCTCACCTAGGAAACACTCCCATTCGCTGCCCTACTGCTTCGTAAGTCACAGGGGCAAGCCGCATTCCCAGGGAGCATCACGAAGTCACACATAATTCAATGCCCAATGCATAATGAGGGAAAGTACATCAAAAAACTAACCCAGGCTTATTTTTCAACCATTTCAAGCAATTTGATGTCAATTGGGCCCCAAAAAGACCCAAAAAGGACTCCATTGCCGGGAATCGAACCCGGGGCGCCGCGGAACCTCTTGAAAACGCGGTATGTTGACCCCTACACCACAACGGATATAATTTTTTTAGTGCGTTTAAAGTGCTGCTGATTCGGCTCTTCTTCCCTAGTATAATCCGGGACAAAGAATTGCCCAAATCTGGTTAGTTGTATGGCTGGATGGTAATGTTCGAGCCCAGCACCATTAAACATTGTATTACCCCAATATCCTAATATTTAATTTAAAAATCGAAAAATAATAATAATAATAAATAAAAAAGGGATATACGTGCATAAAGCGATAGAATGCTGCTCGACTGAATGGCCATCAACAGAATGGGAAATAGTACATGGAAAGTTCGGGCGACAACATGCGATGGGTTCAATTACTTGATGTATAAGTTGGGATGGAGGTACAGACTTCAAAAGTTACGCCGCGGCGTAACACTCGCCGGAGATGGCGATGAGCTGAGTTGGCGAGTGCAGGTGAGGTGAAGTTGATGAAAGAAATGAACGAATAAATGGACATTGTGCACCTATGGTGGGCAGGTGACAGCAGTCGATAAGTAAACAACAAAGAAAAATCAAAGAAAATCAAGTCAGGGAAGGAATGATGAAGGAAGGTTGGGGATGGCGATGTTGATGTCGAAAAATATTTGTTCTTCTTCGAGTATTTGGCATGGGTCGCCCTAAATCTGCTATTCCGATAGAATTGTATTGTTCACCAACTCAGCGGATCGCCATCCTAAATGCAGAGATTGTTTCGTCAACTTCTATCGAGAGTCTTTTCGAGAGATACTATGCCATAGCGTTGGCAGATAGGCCCAGGTTCATTCGTGAAATAGCTGAGGATGCTGTGGGCTGCACAGACAATGCTTTTTCTATAGTTGAAGACGCATCGATTTATCTCAAAACAGTGACGGATGTCCTGAAGCAGGTCGAAACCACAGATAGATTTCAACTTGATCGATCGACATTGGACAGAATAGAACCCGCACGTCTACGATGTACGAGCCATCGTGTATCTGTCAAACAGCATACAATGAAAAGAATACTGGGCGATGAGGAGTACGAGGAGTGTTTTGACAAGATAACAACGCTCACCGCCAATGAAGCCCTGCAACAGTATATCCGTCGTGGATAAGAAATTGTGCCAGACCGACGGCATCTATACATGTGGCTTAATGAGGCGATGGGTAACCGGCATAACACACGAGGACGTGGTTCCAGAAATACGCCAGCAGTTACTCTCAGTAATATCAGGCGAGCCATGATCTAGCCAGCATCCGCTAAGAAATGTCCCCTGAAGAGACCATATTTGCAAAGTAATCGTTGTGGATTCGGGTGTCGAGAAGGGTGGCTGGCTTGCAAGACATCTTCCAGCAGCAACGTACGTATGCGGATAAACAAGTTTGGTTTATATTCTTACCAAGTCCAACCACATGACAACGCTCAAAGGCTTAACGCAGGCACAGGACCTGTGACTCCACCAGATGTTATGACAATTGATCATCTGATAGATATGGGGCACGAACACCACCTGCCTAACGAGAAAATTAGACATAACCCAGCAGACATACCTGTGTTGATGAAGGAATCCTAACAAATACAGCCTTTGGCCCAAGACTCTGTCTCCATCGACCCTGGCATGGACGGCTCTAGCATGCTCATTGACACAGAACCTCGATCGAGCTCTGATAATGAACGTCTCGCATCATCTGGCCAATCCGGCCTCGAAGCCGTGAATTCACGAGTACCCACGGCGGAAACCACATGTCAATTTGCCAGTCAGAAATCATAAAGGGCATCATGACGTGTGTCAATCGCACCGGCGCCATATCCTGAAGATGGTATGTCTTGCCACTACTATCAGCTCTCACCAGTCAGACGAACGGATCCGGCCACTCTGGGAGGGAAGAGGCGATGTCAAGGTTTGGCGAGAGACTCATGATTCTTGGCTGATAATGCACGCTGAGATGGGAGATAATCTAAAATGGGTTCACTAGTATCGATTCCCGGGTACTAAATTGTCTAAGCCTATTCTTAAGAAATACCGGATGTTGGAGCAGCTCTTTGGGCCTCAACAAGGGCTTTTAGGCCACGACATGGTTATGAATGGAAACGGTGTTTATAATCTCGGGCTTGACTAGCTTCTAGAAAGCAAAAGCAATCAGATCGAGTCGATGCGAGAGGAGATGGACCTCATGCGCTACCATACTCACCAGCAATCTCGAAATGGCAAAAGCTGCAAAGGTTGGGGCATTGCCAGTCATCACATGCTATGTCAACAACTAACCAGGCAAGACCATTGGTTCTGCGGCGGCAACAATGCGTGAGGATAGCACATACGAGCTGACAGCTATTCCGGCCCAAGCCAAATACGCCGTGGCTGGCGATAGTACTGGACTTCACCACGTCGATTTCAATATCACACGGCTCCACCACAAAGACAAGGTCTCGCAAGGAAAGGTTGGCCAGCATAGACTCCAAGCGTCACTTAGCCTAGATGATGAGGACGACTATGATTGTACCATTGTCATAGACGGGCGTCATCGAAACGATTACGCGGATGGATGGAAGCCCCTCAAGATAACACATGGTTTCGGCATTGGTCCTGTCGTCGGCCTTGATGGTGGAAGACTCCGAGCTGCTGAGATCACCCAGACTATTGGGAGGACATATCGCCCAATTCCAGCCAAGGCTGGCGGCGTGCATTTCATGAACGCTGCCACCTTCCACAGATCAACTGATAACGCAACCAAAACCCGCCGTGTACTATTTCCCTGGCACACTAGAGTCGACACTGTGGTCGACGAGAACGGCTACGTATTGCGGACGTTTGAGACAGACGTACTAGAATCGGTAGAAGATTACTTAAAATCGGTCACAACACTGACTGCTCCTCCAACAACAGGCGGAGGGCAGTTTCCAAAAAAATCTCGAGTACCATTTAGATTTCCTGCACAGTCCTATCTGCTTCCAGGCTGTCTTATCCCGGCTGCATTTACTTGCATTGTGCGTTGGGATCAGCCAGCGGTAACGGCAGAGGTGCGTGAGTTCTTCCGCAACCCATATGTCTCCATACGGCGTCAAAGGAGGGATATGGCCAGGGCAATGAGATGGCACATGCAAGTCTTCAGGCAAGCAGAGAGGGAGGCCTTTGGCGAGAAATCGTTTTACGTGCAACACCCAGAGTGAGCAGCAGTGGTCCCGGAGATCAGGGACGACTGGGTTGATGCCATGGGACGATATGTACGCTCATCACGCTTGTGTGAGAGACTTTGCATCCGGTAATGGGCTATATGGGGAGTGCCTAGGTAATGCGTGCATGGCTCAGGGGCCAACCTGTCCTCGATAAGGATGAAGAAGATGTTGGATTCTAGAGTCAAGCTTTCAAGAGTAGTATTGAAAATCGCGAAGATGTTCTTATTTGCAGATACTACTATATAGACCGCTATAATTGATGTCAGCATCAAGACGGAATATCAAGAACTGTCCAATCATACCCAAAATGGCAACGAAATCCACGAGATTGGCATCGCGTAATAGCTACTTGGTTCGGTTTGCCTTAAATGTCATCTCATCCACTGCGTCGATTGTGAACAAAAAAAGCAATTAACAATAGCATGACCTGCGATCTCCCAGCCCGTCCCAAGAATGCATTTATCACTAGTCTTGCCCCTAAATTCCAGTGTGTACTCCTCCAACCCTTTTCAGCACGGGCAGATTTTTCTACAATTTGAAATCTACAACTCGAAAATTCAAGGGATATCATGAAAAAGGCTCATTCAATATTTGTTGATCAATTGCTGAATACAATAGAGCAGTATAATTGACTGCAGCGTACCGTACACCTTGAGGTGACATCATGCAACCATGTCGTGTTCCCGTCTCGCACATCAATCAGGTTCTCATTGGCTCCCGGCCACTTAACGGGGCAGCTAGCGCGACACGAAAAGTCGCGTTTTCCGCCCTCATTTTCCCTGCGAAAGGAGGGGAGAGGCGCGTAAGCCCGCGCGCGTGGAGAAAAAATGAGCCAATTGATCAACCTCGTCCAATCCCTCGGTCGGCGCACCCAACCTCGAACAACCAGGGCCGCCCAAACGATGCAGGGCCAGTCCAATCGTCTGCTCTCTAGCCCTTCCGTAAACACCTCTGCGAGACACACAGACAAACATTTGATATGCCGCAAACAAAACGCCGTGAATGATTGATCGATTGATTGATTGCTGTCAAACGCATGCAGAATGCGTTGTCCACTTGGTGCGATGTGCTGTCGTGCACGTACGCCAAAAACAGCAGGGCTATACCACACGCAACTCCGCTCCAAAAAGATAGGCCAGAAGACGTAGAACCAAGTCGAGAGTAAACAGTAGGGAAAAGGTGCAGATGACATGCAAGTAGATGCAGCAGTAGGTATCATGTACACATGAAAAGGAGCCCCAAGATGAGCTGAGGTATTAGGTGAGTTTGATAGGTAGTTGATTTCATTAAGCAAGGCCTTGATGTAAAGGCTCGTCAAAGGTGAGCCTTCGCCTGTGGACGCTCCGGGGTGTCTTGGCTGAGCCGAATGCAAGCGGTGTCTTCCATGGCTTCTGTGCGGGACTTGGCGTGATATTGACAAAGTCGGAGAAGTCAAAGGCCTGGCCAGGCGTATTGGGGAACAGATTGCCTCCTCCTGGCGTGGTCATCATAGAAGACGGCAACGCTAGGTTCTTTGAGGGTGGTGTAGATGGAGGCTCCATGCGGGTCTTCACGGGGTTGGCCGGAGACGGTGATGCCGCCAGGTAGAGCAGTAGATCCGCACCCTCTTCACCAGACTTGTTGTCGTTGCCATTGGCCTTGTCCTTGTTATTGCGCCGGCCGAGGCTGCTTCGACTGCGCATGGGAGGAGTGCTGGGTGGTGAAGCCTGTGAATGGTTGGCATGGAAGGAGTGGGCCGGAAGAAGATCCTCGTCGTCGTCGGAGGGAGCGGCAAAGTTTGGCGATGTCAGGTCGTCAGTCATGCGGCGGGTTCCCTGGAAGAAGGATACATCTGGGCCAGTAGAGGTAGTAAAGTGTGGTTGCCGGCGAGGCTTGATGGGAGACGACTGTGCAAGCTGGTGATGGTCCTTCCATGTGCTGTGCCCGGAGAAAGACTTGTGTGCAGTGGGGGAGGCACGGAATCGCTTGCCCGGGCTGGAGAGTGCTCCATCGAAAGAGGCCATATATGTGCGCTTGCGATGGCCTGAACTGCCATTGCTGGATCCAATTGCGTCTGAAAATAGGGGCGCCTTGAGGGGGGAGCTCATGAGTGTTCTTGTGGGGTAAGGCAGATCGGATGCGCTGGATGAGGAGTCAGATAGGACATCCCCCTCTGAGATCCGCTTCCGTCGCAATTCTTCCTCAAACTTGGGCTCTATGGTATCGAAGGCGAGGTCCTCCCAGCCGTGCTTCGTCTTGAACTGAGCCAGGGCGAGGCGATTCTGGAGTTTTCGGGCCATCTGTGCAAGATGCCACTCTGTTAGCCCTTTTCTGCCCTTCTCCTGAGAGAGGCGGTCTCGAGGTCGGCAAAGACTTACCTTTCCCAGCTCGGCCCTCTTGAGGACCTTGTCGGCCACAGCCTCTGGCTGCTTCTTGAGGGGCGACGACATGGTCCTTGGTCTCGTCATGAAAGGCGTTGTGGTGCTGCTGCGGTCTGGAGACGGTGGTTTGTGGAGTGGGATCGGGGGGTTCAGAAATTGTTCGGAGGCCGGCGCTTGCAGGTTGTAAGCGAAGGGGTGAAACCGAGTCAGGCACGGGGAAGGATGGTCTACACTATGGACAGGCGTAAATCTAGTCGTATAGAAGTGACAGTGAAGCCAAACAGAAAGTCGACTTAGTTGACGATGTCTGGCAGCAGTGTGAGGGTTTTGAGGAGGTTAAGGTGGTGGTGGTGAGGGAGTTCACTTCAGTTCAGGGAGGTTGGCTGAGGTGTGAGCAGCATGCCTTCTGTGGTCCGGGACGAAAAGCTCATTCCTGTGGAAACCGGCAGATTACTCTAGCTGAGGTGAGCAGTGGACTGTGCTGCGCTGGCTGGCTGGCTGGCTGGCTGGCTGGCTGGCAGTGGCACACAGGCCACCCAGACGCTAAGGGCAAAGGTCGCTGTAACCGGGTGGACTGGCTCACTGGGGCTGGGCGTGCTGGGCTGGGCTGCCACACAGGAAGAATGGAGACGCACGGCACACGCCGGCAGGGGTGGTTAGGGCCACTCATTTACCAGGCAATAAGTGCAGGCCAACACATTTGCACCACCACCACCACCAGAACACGGGGGCGATGGGCCTCGAGTCTCCTACTGTTCCATATTGTCCATTAAGATTCCAGGATAGGAGCTGTTCCAGACGGCCTAACCTTGCCTTGCCTTACTCTAGAGACAGATGGCATCATCCCTCCATTCTTCGTCTTTGATAGTGCGAGCCTCCTGGGAGCATCATGCAATGGAGGGGAGGCGGCCCAGGTCTCACCTTGACGGAAGGGTCTTATCTGGCAACGTTGACCTAACAGACAAGCAGTCCTTTGCAAAGCTTACCTTAACTGAATGGGCTTGTTCGATAGTAACCGACAACTCGGAATGTCGGATTCTGGAGCCCTGGACGGTCGGCAAATGCCACCATGACATTTCTCTCTCAACGAGGTACCCCTACTTTGCTCGGCAGGTGTAGTATAGCCTGTGACATCTCTTCTACTCTTAGACCGCCCTTGGCGAATGGAGGCCGGGTCGAAAGAAGAATTCGACGTTCTTCCCGCCTAGAAGAAGAAAACTAGAATCCAGCGGCGTATGCCTATGGGCTGTTTGTGCTCGAGAGGCTATTCATAAAAAGTATTCGTAGGTTGAATGTCGACGGAGAGTGCTCTTGATGTATAAGGCGGTCCTAGTGCAGTTCGACATACAGGGTGCAAAGAAGAAGAAAACATACTCATATTGCCAGCGCTCATGGCGACCAGGAGTAGATATTTCGATTTGAATCTGAAAAGGAAATCGTTGTCCTCGATTGTATGATACTGCTCCACTGTGTCTCATGTAAATTTGCAACTTGATCTTAGGACTTTCAGGTTGTGTTCGCCATGATGCCAGATTCAAGCTATCTCGAATCGTCCTCCGTCTAGTGGTTCCCACTTGAGCCTTTACACATAACGAGAGGATATAGGGGTACCATACCTACCTTAGATAGCATACCTGCCACGTGCTTATACATGAATTCAACGGCAATGAGATAATCAACTGTTGTTTGGCTCTGAGGAGCGGCCCATCTGACCAGATGCCAAATTCAGTGCCAAATGGGGATCAAGACCGACAGCATTTCCACGAGGTACGTATAGTTTGGCAATTAAGATCCCTGTCCTGCAGAGGTGGTTAAATGCCCGCTAGCCAAGCTACCCTGGCACAGTTGCATCAGCCGTTCCCTGCTGTCTGATATGGATACCAGTGCGTTTGATAAACATGCTGACAGGCAGTCCCTAGGCTTGTTCATTACTGCGATCGAGATCGCAAAATTGCCCCTGCTTGCTAAAGCCTACCTAGGTGAAAAGTCCAGCTTAATTACCGTACTAGCAGACCTCGGTGCAGCACTATGGGCAAGAGTCCGCGGCAGGTCGAGAGAATGGTATTCGGTTGAATAACCAATTCTATCGCGGTGATCATCTCGTATTGAACTCTCTTCGGAGGCACTGGGTCAAGACATTGCGGGGAAGCGACAGAAAAGAGCTGTTTTGGACACACCAGGGTGTTTCTGCAAGGTGGCTCTTGAGATACTGTTCTCACAAACTGGATGCAGTGGCGCCAGTGGAATGTAACTGTGCAAATCTTGTTTCGAGATGCAGTACAACGATCAAACATGCGCTTGATCTCGGGTCGCTCGGCATTGGGATAGCAATCAAGACTTACCGCGAGAGAAGGGTAAGTGAGTGTATATCGCCTAAGCCTCCCGTCGCTTCCCAAGGTCATAATAGATGCGATGTGGGACAGAGATTGTAACACAGCTATAAGAAGACCGTTGCTCGCATTGTGCGTAGGGTAGCACCATGCCTCCCGTTTATCTGCATTTGCTGTTGTCAGTGATGCAGCCCGGACGGTTTGCACTGAGGTCTGGCTTATCATCCAATCTTTTATGTCCTAGATATCTCGCACCAATTGATTGGACAAGTCCTGCAATCGATGCTCAGTCCGCAACATCTGCATCTCCAGAGGAGCATTGAGCCTCATGCGGACTGGTCGGCCGAAAATGCCATTGGAGGACGCCGATGGGTAGGACGGCAATCAGCAGCAATGCGATGAGGGAAGATTGACGCACCAGGCCACTTTTACATGCTATAAATTGTAACACCATGCAGTTCTCATCATCCTGCTGCGGGCTCGGCACAAGGCCAATGGCGGCGCCGTCTCAAAGCTCCACGGCTTAGTCGGCCCCGTTCTAAGCATGTTACGTACACCACCTTGACATTCAGTTTTGCCCACCGTAAGATCGAATAGACGCAGCAGCCATTACGAGGGGAAGCAGGTCTATCACTGCTCGTATTGGGGGTGGCAGCAATCGGGGAGAAAGTTTGCTGGCCTTGAGCTGTCCGCCATATTCTTGCAAGACCTTCAATCTTCGAGACCCTGTCCTCAAAACAACTCCTCCTCAAACAAACAATCGTGTCCTCCTTTACCAACCCACGATCTATGGTGTTGTATCGCACGTGTAGCGGGCAAATATCGTTCAAAGGAAGTACACCTAGAGTAGAGTACAAGCAAGCTCTAGCTCGCTACTCCGCTACAGGACACAAGACGAGCGATCCACCCTCGCCGCATTGAGCCGTTCATTGAGCCGTCAAACAGATCACCGATTCAGACGGAAACAGAGACAGACACAAGACAAGCCGGCACGCATTGCAGCAAAGCAACACGGCACTTTCAATTGCACGACAGGGAAAAGCAAGAGGCCCGTATCAAGTCAAAAGAATCAAGAACAGACGGAGATTTGAGCGTACCACTGACTACCCGAGGCCGACTGAAAGGGGCAATACCGTAATAAGAACAAAAAGCAGCCAGCTCGGTTGGGTTGGGGTGCATCAGATCCTGGCCTCCGTTTCCAACAAAAATCTTGGTGGTGCCAACCCCCGGACATTGGAAGGACCACCAACAACAGGCTTTGATCTGTGATCAGCCCTGCATCGCCGTTCCACTTTCCCAGCCAGGAGCCAGACCTCACAAGGTGAGAATACTTATCTCTCGATTTTGGCAGGCCTGGCAAGCGCCGTTGCAGTGCCGCAAAAGCGTCCCGGCAATCTTGAAGGGCAGGTTTATACAGGCGCAATCGCTGCTCGATCTCCGGTCCCCATCATCTTGGCTGACGGTTTCTACAAAGAGCCAGGAGGTTTGCTTGAGCTCCTGGACATTTGTCCCTCTGGCTGGCAACGTCTCGTTGAACCAGTCATTCACTCACTCGCGGACTGGTGGCTTTGGACTGTCTTGATTCTCTCGCATCTACTCAGTTGCACACTCAATCATCACTCTCGCGGCCTGTCTGACTCGAGTGCAACGGTCAAAAGTCTCTCATTTCTAACGGTTACGCGTGTCGCCTTTTCACGCCGTTCCGTCGTTTTTCTTCATCTCTCTCTATTCACTTATACAGCCTCAGCCGTAAGGTGCTAGCAGGCGGCTGCCCTTCGTTCTGGCTGGCCGTTATCGACAACCCGGTCGGGAAGCCCACAGGCGTTGCATTGCCAACCTACCTAGGTAGGGTACCCTGCTGCCATTTGCGCATTGATCAAACACCATCTGCATCTTTCACATCCCGCTCCGCTACACTTCACTAGCCTGGGCCTTGTCAGGGCTTGCTACACTGCTGCTGCTCTATCTCGCCCAGCCCACGGTCGATATAGCGCCGGCTCCTATTTCAACCAAACGGCCCATTCGAAACGTGACGACGTCATCGACCCATTTACCCCCCGAACATCCCACCGAGGCCAGCTCCTGCTGTTGCCCACCGTCCGTGATCCACCGTTCAAGCTAGCCACGTTATTCGTTGCTTGTTGAGCTTGTGCAGCAAAGTGGACATACGTCCACGCAACCGCAACGGGAAGACCAACCTGCCCTGGAAAGCGCGACCTGCTACCGCACCGTACCAAGCGTACCTACCCACTTCCTTCCTTCCTGCGCTTGCCTTTGCGCCGCTACCGTACCTGGACCAACACTATCGAGCCTACCTTGAATTACCTTGCCTTAGTTGATTCGGGTGCATTGTCAAGTCCGCCTCCCGTGCCTGCACATCACTCAGAGAGATTTCTGCAAGGAACATCTTTCCTCACATTCGTTCATCTTTCTTGCAATACTCGCCTGTCCTCAAATAACTCTTAGGTTCCGGCTGTGACAAGTGTGGCAGTAGCTAGCTTCGAGGAACTGCCTATGTGGCTGTTGTAATCAAGGTATGATGAGAGCGCTTGCAACCTTTCTGTCAACCTCCGTTTATTCGTCTTGCGATCTTCTGCATGTTGGCGTTCAAGAAAATAACAACTTCCCAGGGGCTATCGAGGTATCATTCGCAGGGGCGGCCATGGCTCCGTCTTTTCTCCCAAATTTCAAGGAGCTGCGAAGACGATCCAGGGCCAGCTTCAAGACCGATCGCTCAACAGATACTTCAAGTGACGGTAGTAATGGTGCCACTCCAACAAGCGGCTCGCTCACACCGCCGTCTATCGCCTATCAGTCCGATCCTGCTCTGAACGACCAATTGAAGGATTCATCATCTTCGCCGTCGATCCCGATCAGGCCGCCTCTCCAGCCGCCGACAAATGTTGGAAGCAACCGCTACAGTGTGTCCGGTATGACGGGATTAGGATCGCCAGTGTCAAGCGGACGAGGGCCACAGCTGCCTATCTCTCAGTACTCGCCGCACATTGACAACATTGCCGATAATGCTTGGGTAAGTTGATGCTCTTCCCTTGACGAGCCGCAACTTGTCGTGGATGCGCGCAATGCTAGGCTTGGGAAGAAAGGAAGCTGTGGATTTTTTTTCCACGGCCGGTCGCGTACAGAATCGGCGTACTGATGATTAGCAGGTGTACCAGAAAGTTCTTATTGTTCATGGCACAATTGGCGACGCAACTCAGCAGTCAATCGATGGAACATTGACGGTTAGTCGCCTTGATGACAGCTTCCCTCCGATAGCATGGCCAGTATGCGACTCGCATTTCAAGGCACTCATTTACATGATGCCCGGCGCGAACAAGATACGGTTCGACTTCTCAAGCCCAAAGGTCGCAAATAGTGGCACCTCCAATCCCATCCACGCATCCTATCTCACCGTCCACATGCTCCCGCCAATCAACGCGCCACCCCTTCAATTGGCCATATTAGTCGCCAAAGACTCACCTGCAGTATACGACGCCGTGCCGACGCGGGCTGAACGGGAAGGCAATGGCCTAGCCCTAGCAGTTCGAAAATTCCGTATGGCTGCCTATCTATGGCAGGCATTCACTGCCGAACAGATGCATCGTAACAGACTAGGGCGCCGCGCTTTTAGATTCGAAGAAGAATGGACCCAAGGGACCGCGAATATCCGAGATCTAGAGTCTGGAACTATGCGATCGGAAGCTCGAGTGCATGTTATAAGGACGGACAAGACGGTAGCCGAACTTCGAGACCTCAACCGAGCACAACAAAACCCCATGGCGACAGAGAAAGACGCGCTTTTTGGCATAGCAGCTGATGCAGTTAAGAACTACTTCAATCCTCTGCCAGGACAGAAGCAGTATGTATCTGTACTGATTCTCGATTCTCATTGGGACCCCAGCTCCAAGGTTGTCACCGGCCATGCAGCTCTTGGTGGAGGCTGTGGAGACCTGCAGCTGGCCATCTTCGGGTCGCACTGCCTGCAAAGCTATCCTGCCAGCTTCGAAGAGGTCGTGCCTGCTTTTAGCGACTGTACACCAACTGATACCAAATATGTGGCTAATGACTGCAATGAGGCTGGAAGTTCTTGGGAGGCCGCAAATATCGGGATCGGCGCTCATCTACACGAGACTGGACATTTATTTGGCTGCCCTCATCAAGAGAATGGAGTGATGCTCCGAGACTATACTAGATTTAACCGAAGCTTCATGGCTCGGGAAGCCTACTCGACGAGAACGAAGTCAAAAGGGGGGCTCGTCCTCCAAGGAGACGAGTGCACATGGCATAGACTGGACTGTCTACGGTTCCGAAGCCATCCTTGCTTCAAATTGCCAAACGATCCACCCCTAAGCGTTGATGATAGCGTACAAGCTTGGCCCGTCGAAGGCGGCAATGTTATGGTCACTGCGCCTGCAGGGGTCTCTTTTGTCGAGATCTACGGAGAAGGAGACGACGTTTGTCGGAAATGGATTGAAATCGCCCCTGAGAACGGCCGCCTTCGACGACACATCACATTGAAAGATTCAGAGCTTCGAGACCGACTTCCCGAAGATAAACGTCGTGGTAAGATGAGAATTAGTATCAAATCGGCAGGTGGCGGCAGCGTCGACATAGAGGATTTCAAGCAGCTCTGTTCGAAGGAGTCGGCTTTGAGGTTGGGCAACGCTATAACTGGCAAGACGGCGTATCGGAGTCAACGGCTTGGCTTGTCTAAGATGGAAGGAAGCACACCACAGGAATTCCTCTTCACAAGTGCAGCAAAACAGGACAGAGTCCTCTCTCGTATCATGTTCTATCACGGGTCGGCTTTGGATGGCATGGAGTTCATATATGACGACGAATCAAGCCAGCTCTTTGGTAAGAGAGGAGGCAAGGTAGGGGGCGATTGTTTTGAAATGGGTACGTGAAAATTCGAGTAATTGATATATGCTGAGACTCCGGACTAACATGACCTAGATATCCGCCGAGGAGAGTACATTTCCGGCTTCTATGTTCGGTCTGGATTCTGGATCGATGGTATTCAGGTCCTGACCAGCCTGGGTAGGCGATCGCCAGTGTATGGCAATGCGCATGGCGGTTCTGCGTACGGCATCCTCTTCCACATCTGAATACTCTAACTTTGCTGACAAAGCTGTAGACATACTTTGATACCCCCGAGAGGATACACTATCTGTGGTGTATCTGGATCCTGCGGTCCTTGGGTCGACGGATTCTCTGTTCTTATTTTTCAGTAGTATATTCTGGCATTGATACGATGGTACATATAAACGCGGCATACATGTAAAAATGGCGAAACGACGGCAACAATGAGGGTTGTGGGATTTCCGAGCAACAACTATATCGTAATGACTAATCATGGTCTTCGGCTCTTCATAGCTGGTCTCTCTTTCTATTGTTTTTTGGAAGGCAAGGGCTGCTCACCATCCATTTGTCACACTAAGCTTGTGGGTTTCATTTCATCGGGCATACACATAGTAAAGAGGTCGCCAGATTGTGTATAGATAGATTATGGCAACCTGCGACCTGGCATAGCTTTCATCTGGATCGATTCTTAGCTAAAGAATGCACAGGAAATGGACGTGGAGTTAAACTATACATAATACCGCTTGGTGAACATGCGACTAGATTCAATCTCAATATCACTACTTCAACTTACAAATCAATCAATTACATGGGGACCAGTGAGGTTGACAGCTCTTCAAGCTACTATTGAGTCGATTTCAGATACAAGCTTGGCAATTGGCCTGAGTTTCCTTGTTCAGGACTGGACTTTTGATAAAAGCACAGGTGGTTTGGAGCTCAAGCAGTATTGCGCTTTGTGCGTGTTGTTGTGGTATGAAGCTAGTTCTGACCAATCTCACGGCTTCCAAGATTGACGTGCTTCAACCCCAGAAGTTCGTCATCGATAATGCTCGCACATTATCCACAGCGCTTCAACCTTTGGACCTACGAGGCTTGCAAGCCATCCCCTAAGTCTACTTCCCCGCGCGGGGGCGCCACTATTAGGCCGTTAAATCCACAATGGCCGTTGCGTTTGGGGTTCAGGCTCCGTATGTTACTGCTACCATTTTGATAGCTTATGCTCCATGAGTGAAGGGCTTGGTCGGAGCTGCTACTTGCTACCATGAAGGACTGACTCCACACACTTCAGAAGTAGGAGATAACCTATAGCTTGCAAGTAGTTTCGACTTCAAAGGCAAGTCACACCGTGAGTCTACCTGCCATTTCCAGCCCAGTTTCGGGCAATACCTCCATCTCATGGGCGTACTCGGCCGAGGAGCAGGGACCTTTAGAAGGTTTCAACCAACGAAAAAGCACAATTGCTTCTGGGGCTATTGCGTGCTTCGATGAACAACTCCATGACACCTCCAGGGCCAGGGTTCTTCTCATTGAATGATTGGTAAGACGACTGCCGATACCATGGCTGTCATTCTCATGAGTCGTGGACCCCTGCCCACTCAAGAAACTCGCAGCACCAAGGCTTGCAATGGTTTTATATTAAACCCAAGCCACCGGGACCAAGAGTGCTTGTTCTCTCTAGTCTAGTCCCAACGGCTCGATCCGCACTCTATCCAAGCCAAAATGGCGTCGTCACCAAGACATCCAGACGCAGAAGAAGCCCTTGGCGGAGCTGGTGGCGCTGCTGCTACTGCTCCTCCCGCAGAGAAGTATGGAATCTCGCCAGTCGGGACGCCCGCTACGAGCCCGAGCTTGTCCGACAAGGAGCTCGATGATACATATCAAGTCTACAAGACGACGGCGGACCTGGAGACCACGCCGGAGGAGGCGAAGAAGGTCTTGCGGAAGATCGATTCGCGTGTTGTGCCGATTCTCTTCTTCACGTACATGTTGCAGTACCTCGACAAGAACTCGCTCAACTTTGCGAGCGTGTACGGGTTGAAGCAGGGGACGAACCTCCATGGACAGGATTACTCCTGGCTAGGTACATAAGTTCAGCCGAACTCCAGAGATACACAATCTGACATCAGGGCCTTCCCTGTGACACAGGTTCGATCTTCTACTTCGGTTATCTGATCTCTCAGTTCCCCTCGGCATATGCCCTGCAGAAGCTGCCAATAGGCAAATTCGTCTCCATCGTCACGGTGATATGGGGCGCCATCTTGATGACAACCCCGGGATGCACGTCGTTTGCGGGGATCGCCACGAACCGGTTCTTCCTGGGCTTGACAGAAGCCACAGTCAACCCGGCCTTCGTATTGATCATGAGCATATGGTATACATCAGCCGAGCAACCTCTGCGTCTCGAGTCGTACTACTGTACGAACGGTATCGCGACCATGTTTGGTGGCCTGATTGGGTACGCTGTCGGCCATATAAAAACTGGACTTGCGCGCTGGATGTACGTCTTCATTATATTTGGCGCCATTAGTATCGCCTGGGGTGTGGTCAGCTTCATTGTGCTGCCTGACCTTCCCGCGACCGCCAAGTTCCTGAACGATAAGGAGAAGGCCATCGCCATTGAGCGGGTGTCGAGGAACAAGCAGGGCGTGAAGAACCACCACTTTCGCAAATACCAGGCTGTTCAATGCGCGAAGGACCCCAAGACCTGGATTCTCTTCATAATGGCTGTGGGTGCGCAGATCCCGAATTCGGCCCTGACAAGCTTCGCGAGCATCATAGTAGGAAGCTTCGGGTTTGACACGTTGGGAACACAATATATGCAGATACCAGGCGGAGCAGTGCAGTTCCTGGCCTTGATCGTGGGAGGCTGGGTCTGCACGCAATGGCCAAGTGCAAGATGTATCACCATGATCGTGGCCAACTCGATCTGTATCATAGGTGCCGGACTACTTGTGGGGCTGCCGGACCACAACAAGGTGAGAGGCTCGATCAACATTGATCCACGCCAACAATACTGATCTATATGTGTCTAGTGGGGACGCCTCGTCGCTCTCTGGCTGTGCTACTTCCAGGGCCTGGGTTTCTCGATGTCGCTGACTATGGTGTCATCCAACGTTGCCGGCTATACGAAGAAGCAGCTCACGGCAGCGGTGCTTTTCACGGGATACTGCGTGGGAAATATCATTGGACCTCAAACGTTCATTGATAGCGAATATCGTGAGTGATCGATTCTCCACGTTTTGATTCTTGGACCAAGGGAGCCAGGTAAGCTAACCGGCCGATAGCTAGATATCACAGCGCGTATATCGCCATGTTAGTGGGATATAGTATCAAGCTGGTCATGGTCATCATCTTGTACATTTACATGTACAGAAGCAATAAGGCCCGCGACGCGGCCGGTCTTGTAAACGACCATGCCGCGATCGAAATGGGTATGCACGACCAGACGGAGCTCGATAACCCAGGATTCAGGTAAGTGCCACTTGACGAGAGTCTGGGGAGCGTTTTACTGAAGCCCGGATTCTAGGTATTCGCTGTAGAATCACTTCACTGGCACAAAACTGGATAGGTCGGAGACTGCAAGCAGAGAGCTTAGCATCTGTCAAGTAAGTTGCAACGTGAGGTGGCGAGGTGAGGAGAAGGAGCTGGAGGTCTCACATGCAGGCAAACATCGACCTATGATTCGACCCAAACGATCATCTGGAAATTTGCAGCTTTGTAACTTGCAAGCAATGAGAAGTGGCTACAGCCGCAATGTGTAAGAGAATCGAGGCAAGTCGGAATTCGAGTCAATTGAGTCTGAAGCGCTCGCCGATGCGTGTGTAAGTGAAGTGTCTTGAACCAAATCAATTTGGAAGCTTCAGAGAGCTGGGAGCTTGGAGAGAGAGTTATGACTAAGCTCCTTATGGCCTAGCCCGGGTCGACTAATGACGGCATCGGTAGGTAGGTAGGTAGGTAGGGTGGCTGAAGCTGTCCGGGTGAATTGCACCTGAAAAAAAAAACCCAAGTTTGCGAATGACCTGTGCGCTGCGCTGTGCTGCGCCTACCCGAAAAGCTGTGACGCCAACGTGCCGAACAAGGCCTTGACCAACGTGTTGCCCGTGCTTTTGCCAGTGACGCCCTCAACCAAGAAAACGCCCCTCTTTCTCGACCTGCCATTACGTCTGCTGCTGCTGCTGTTGTTCTTCCTGACTGCAAGCCGCCTTTCTCCCTCTCTGTTACTTCTCATACTTCCACCTCCACAACATCCTTCGACGTCCGTCTTCAGGATATTTACATCACCACCTCGAGAAATCTCTACAGAACACCATACAGTCCCTGCCATGTCGAAGAGAACCTCCAGCATGGCGACAAACGGCAACGCAAAGCAGTCCGAGCCGCAGCCTGGTACCAAGACTTCGTCTATCCCATCATTGGCCTCGATAGACAGCTGACTAGCTCTAGATTACGACAAGCAGAAGCTGCTGCTGTCCTCTGAGACTGGACACTTCTCTCTGATCCGAGCTCTCCACCTGGCGGACTTGATCACCGAACTCAATGGTACGCATTCTCTTGGGCCCGCTCTCTCGAGTCCCTTGCAGGACAACTTGAAGTCACATCTTTGGGATATTGATACTAATCGAACTACTGAGTCCAGGCTTTTGCGGTGTCATGTCTATATTTTCTTCCATGCGCTACCTCATCGACCCCACCTCGGTCGGCAATCTCTACAGCGCACTGGCATTCCTACCCCTCGGCCTGTTCTTCGACTTCATGGACGGCAAGGTCGCACGATGGAGGAAGAAGAGCAGCATGATGGGACAGGAGCTTGACTCCCTCGCTGATCTGGTATGTCCATATCCCTGACTCTCCCGGCCTCCTTCTGCGAAGGCCTCACCGCTTCCGAACCCCACTGTTTTATATTGTCGCTAACCAGACTATTACAATAGATCTCCTTCGGCGTGTCCCCGGCCGTCGTCGCCTTCGCCATTGGCGTCCGCACCCCGCTCGACCACGTGTGCCTGGCCTTCTTCGTGCTGTGCGGCCTGACGAGGCTGGCGCGCTTCAACGTCACCGCGACCGCGATCCCCAAGGACGCGACTGGCAAGGCCGCCTACTTCGAGGGTACGCCGATTCCCACCACGCTGGGCATTGACGCCGTGATGGCCTACTGGGTGTCGCAGGGCTGGATCCACGACAGCCTCCCCGGCGGCATGTGGCTCGCCGGCTCGGCGCTCGAGTTCCACCCCCTTGTGCTGATCTTCCTCATCCACGGATGTCTCATGACGAGCAAGTCGATTCACATCCCGAAGCCGTAAAAGGAGAAGGAGTATTATTTCAAGGTTAGAAATGTTAGGGTCATGATCGAGGGATGGGGTGCTCGTAAGGGGCCGTGAACGGGGGTTTCAACACACATATGTTTACGATTCAGGGGTTGGGAGTTGAATTCCGATATACGATTATGAGGATACACACATCTCTAGCTTCCGGCGTTTAGAAGGATTGATGACGGGAAAACGGTATGTGGTCCCGCAAATTAGGATCACAGTCCCCGCTCTGCTCCATTGTCTGTAGACGACAACAAGATGAGACATCTTGAGGAAGGGACTAGGCATGGCAATAAAAAGCACGCTTGATACCCGGAAACATTGTTCTTTTCATTTTCGTGTGGATTGCTATTGACTATAGCTTATGTGTTCCACCCTTACATCGCCTCCTCTAGAGCCTCTCTTGGACATCTACAACATGAGGCATACATGGCGCAACAGGGCTTTTAGGCAGTCTTCTCGGCTTTGGCGTCTCCCTCCGTCTTGGCCGCTGGGAACGGGTTGTAGACAGCGCGCTCATCCCTCAGCTTGATGAGCTTCTGGACAGCCTCATCGAGAGGAACCGGCTTGCCTCTATCCTGGGTGGAGGTGTCGTCCCTGTAGCGGACGTTCACCTGTCTGTTCTCCTGCTCCTCGGCGCCCACAACTAAACGATTATATCAGCAAGAGACACCAATCAGAGCATGATTGGCAAGGAATGCTTACCGAATACAAAGTTGTACTGCGCGAGTTGCGCTCTTCGGATCTTCTTGGGCAGAGTCTCTCCCGAGTCGTCGACGTCGACGTACATGTGGTTCTTCTCCATGATGGTCTGCACCTCCTTTGCGTAGTCGATGAAGCCCTTGCCGACAGGAATGACCATGATCTGGCGTGGGGACAACCCTAACATGAAGTCAGTTATGTTTGAATTGTCTAAATGGCCTTATGGGGCAAACTCACAGTACGGCCACTTGCCCGCGAAGTGCTCGCAGAGAATGGCGGTGAAACGCTCGATACTACCAGCCATGGCACGGTGAATCATGACAGGTCTCGCGCAGCCAGGGGTCAAGGGCTTCTTGTAGTTCTTCTTGACTTCCTTGTTGTCTCCGGCGGCCGGAGCTGCAGCGGAGGACTCAACAGCTGCCTCTGCAGGCTTTTGCCTGACGGGGAGAGCGGTGGTGCCCGCGGCTGCCTTGTCCTCTGCCTGGCTCTTGGGCTGCACTGAACTCTCGGCAGTCATGTACTCAAGGTTGAAGTTTTCGGGCTGGACGAAATCTAGCTGGACTAGAGGAAACATTAGCGACTAGTTCGGGACCAATCTGACCTCGTTACTTACTGGTAGCACATTGCCATTCACGGTTAAGGCAGTCCATAATGGCAATATCGATCTTGGGACCGTAGAAAGCACCATCACCGGGGTTTAGCTCCCAAGGAACACCCCCCTCAGTCTTGGCGAACTCGTCAAGAGCCTCACGCAGATTGTCCTCTGCCTTGTCCCAGGTCTCAACATGGCCCATGAAGTCCTCGGGGCGAGTAGAGAGTCTTAGCTTGAAGGTGAGACCCAGCATCCCGTACATCTCGCGCAAAAAGTCGAATAGATCCGAGACCTCCTGCTTGATCTGGTCCTCTCGGCAGAAGATGTGAGCATCATCCTGCTGGAAGCGCCTCACTCGGGTCAAACCCGATAGCGCACCAGAAGCCTCGTTTCGGTGAAGGACACCAAAGTCAGCAACTCGCCATGGCAGTTCTCGGTGACTCCTCTCGCGGTGAGCAAACATCTTGGCATGAGAGGGGCAGTTCATGGGCTTCAGGCCGAACTTGTCCTTCTCGACGTCGAGGATGAACATATCTTCTTGATAATGCGCCCAGTGACCAGACTGCTTCCACAGCTCGGCATTGAACATATTCGGGGTGATGACCTCGTGGTAATGCCTCTTGTGATATTGCTCACGGACGTAAGCAAGGATGGTGTTGTAGATTCTCGTTCCGTGGGGGAGCCAGAAGGCAGATCCTGGCGAGACGGGATCAAAGAAGAAGAGCTCCTGGTCCTGACCGATCTTGCGGTGATCTCTCTTCGCAGCCTCCTCCAAAAACTTCTTGTGCTCTGCCATGAGCTTCTTGTCAGGAAAACTGACACCATAGATACGTTGCAAGGAGTCATTCTTGGCGTCTCCCAGGAAGTAAGATGCGGAGTTCTTCATAATGGCAAAGCTCTCGATTCTGCCGGTGTCAGGAACATGTGGTCCTCTGCACAGATCGATGAGGGGACCATTGCGATAGACCGTGGTGAAGGTGCCGTCTGCAATCTTGTCCTTGATGATGTGCTGCTTGTATTTGTTGTATTTGAACATCTCCAGCAGCTCATCCTTGGACATCAAAAGACGTTGGAACTTCTGCTTCTCCTTCACAATCTTGCCGACAATGGACTCGAGCGGCGCCCAATCGGTGTTCTGCACTGCAGAGCCATCTGGCAAAGCCATCTCGTAGTAAAATCCGGAGTCGACGGGGGGGCCGATGCAAAGGCTGCAACCAAATCTCCTCTCGCATGCCTCTCCGAGGATGTGAGCACTCGAGTGCCAGAAGACAAACTTGCCCTGGGGGTCATTGAAGTCGAGAAGCTCGAGCTTGCAGCTTCTCTCGAGAGGGCGCTCCAAATCCCACAGCTGCTCGCTATCTCCATCTAGTCTGGCTACCACAGTGCGCTTGAAAAGGCTGTTGGAGATACCCTTGGCGATATCGGCGGGCGTGGTTTCGTAGGCGACACCTGGCTTGACCGAGCCGTCGGGCATGGTGATCATGATCGGTTCGCGGGGCTTCTTGGCGAGCTCTTCGTCATATCGCAGCTTCAGCTTGTCGAACAGGGCAATTCGGTCTTGCAGAAAGGACGGGGGAGGGTTCATCTCGACTGGGCCAGAAGCGGCGGCGGCAGCATCAGACGCTGCGGCCTTCTTGTCCTTCTTGGCCATATTGGGTGACTGGTGATTGTTTGTTGACTCGAAAGAAATCACGGACGACACGACGGTCGCACTGAGAGCACGAGTTATACCCACCGGCTCGACAACGTGGTGGTGAGTCAACTCAATTTCCCGGTGTGTCACCGCAGGGATTACTGATGATATGTGTGAGTCGAAGCAGAATTAAGGGAGCTGTGTTAAACGTGTGGTGGGGTTGAATTGATTTCCTCTTGCGCCCCGCGCTTTGCAGCGACACCCGTGGACGGTGGACCTGAGCAGCCCGCGCCAGGGCAGGGAGCTACCTGCCCGCTAATTGGCGCACTGGCCACTTCCCTGAGGTCAAACCTGACCGCCTCAACCGCAATCTGCAGGGCTCTCGAATAGGTGGATGGGAGATCGAGTGGTCATATCCCCGTCAATTGCCGTCTGCCAAATCGCATCCCCTTATCGATACCTTCACAGTCCATACCTGCATTACTTAGCAATCCGCTTCCTACAACCCCCAACATCTGCCTAACAACGCACTCGACTGATATCCTACATTTACCCAATGCGCGGCTTGTTGCTTTAGCAGATAGCTCTCGCAGGTGGTGACTGAAGGCGGGTGTGTATTCCATTTTTGGTGACCCCTCGACGGCCGCACGTGTACGATGGCTTCCCTTGAACTGGTGCCCGACGAGATCATCCGCCACATCCTCTATTACATCTCCCCTGAGGAGATCCTGTCCTCGGTCCAGATCCTCTCGAGACGACTTCATAGACTAGCGAACGAGCCTCTACTATGGAAGTATTATTGCACAACTTCCTTCCGTCACTGGAACCCGGAGCATCGATTCCAGGAGAAGCTCACGCTCCGGGCGTCTGAGGTGGAGTGGAAGTCATTATGGATGGAGCGAAACAGGAGGAACACGCGGGTTTCGTACCTGATGGATGGCATTCTTGCCAGTAAAGTCGGCAGGCTGCAAAAGTTCGGGCAGATATGTATGCTAGGATACGATGCCAAGGACTTTCTCCTGGAGCAGTGCCACACAGATGAGACCGCAGAAGACGTGTTGGCCAGGAGGTAGGAACCACAAGAATCTTCCTTGGTGGCATTGGGTAACTGAAACGACAGCCAGGTTCTATGGAAACACGGCTCTGGGCAGCATCCACAGGAGCATAGCGGTGCAGGAGTGGCTACCATACCAGAGGGCGCCTTACACTCTAAGGGGCCTCGATCGGGCCCTGGCCGCTTTCGAGATGTTCTTTCTCCGTGAGAGGGATGGAGATGTCGATGACGTGAGTCCACGAGGAATATATTTCCTATGCTGTATCTTTACTAAACCTAGTAGATCGACGCCCTACTTGATAGACTAGCCTCTGACTTCCTCTCTGAGCAACCTCATTTTTCAGAAAAGTCTACTCGGCAAAAGGCTCTCCTCCTGGCACAGTGGGTACGAGCCAAGAATCTGACCGGTATGGAGGATGAAGAGGTGAATTACCGAAATCTGCGCAACTGCTTGATCGGCCACGCACTGCTGGAGGACCAACATGATTCTCTGCCGATCATATCCAGCGCTATATACTGCTGCCTTGCAGAAAGAGTAGGCTTGCGAGCAGCATGTTGCGCCTTTCCTAGCCACGTCCATGCCATGGTGATGGCACCTCCGGGTGAGCAACTGGATGGCGGTCGTGTGCCGAATCCGACCACGGACGTAGAAAAGATGTTCTTGGATCCATATCGTTCGAGCGAGGAGGTCACCCTCCAGGAGCTTCGATCTAAGTTGGTTGAACTTGGATGGATGAGCAGTGGCGACTCCTTCCTCGTCGCGTCTCCGACAGCCGTTATCGTCCAACGCACAGCTCAGAATATGAAGACAACATACTCCAAATTGGCAAGAATGAGCAACATCGAACCAGAGGCTAGGTACCAGTTGAGGCGGCTCAGAAATGGAGACCATGAGATGAATGCGGAATCGGCCCTATATGCTGCTCTGTGGGCAAATCTGCTCGTCAACCCTGTGAGCAGTTTCCAGTGGGACCACTCGTTGGATGTGTTTCTTAGTCGGTTTCACCAACTCTTCAGCGAGGACTTGTGGTTAGTTGAGAAGTATCTCCTGCCGCTCTATAACGTCTTCACCGAGTCACAAGCCCAAACGCACCATCGCTTCTCGTGGCAGAATGTGCATGAGATGGTGAACATGGTCCGGAACATGGATCAGAGGCAACCGACAGTGAACAGGCGCTATACGCAGGAAATCCAGGCAAACGTGTGGTACAAAGTCGGTCAAGTCTTCCGCCACAAACGATATGACTACATCGGTATCATCAACGGCTGGGGAGACAAGGGCACTGGTTCGTTGCCAACGCCACATTCGCTGTCCATGGACGAGACGATGGAAGAATATCAAGATACCAGTGATAGCGATTCATCAGCAAGGTCAAGATTCCGGAAGAAGACATACTACACTTGCTTGTAAGTTGATTCACTGGATTACAGTTTGGTGATTCGTTGCTGACCATAACCAGGAGAACCGACATTGACCGTCATGTCATTGCACAAGACAATATCGAGATCATCACGGACCCGAGTCTCATCCCAGAGCGGCTTTTCTTTGTGGCAGGCAAGTTCTTCAAGAGGTTTGATTCGGAGACCTGCAGGTTCGTCTCCAACATCCGAGAGTTCTTTCCGGATGATTAGACAATCAAGAACTGTCAAAAGCAGCTATAGCTAGCAACAAGCCCATATCCCCTTACAGGATACATCTAGACATTATTAATCAACTCCTGTAAAACGCCATGCTCAGCAAGCTTCTTGACCCATTCATGAATCGCCGGTGCATAGTCCTTCTTGCGCCCCAATACTCGTGCCTCATCCTCATCCGTCGCAGCCAGCTCCGCCACATACTCAGATCGTATGCGCTTCTGCTCGTCCTCGAGACTCTGCTGTAGGTCTAGCGCCTCTGCAGTCTCGAAGGACGGCTTGGAGATCTTGTCCTTGAAAGCCTGTGCTGCCGCCGCTGTGGTCAAGTCCTCTTTGGACACGCCGTACTCTGCCAGGCTGGTCTCGTCGTCTCCGTTGAGCCAAGTTCGCTCAGATGCCGCTATGGAGCTCATCTCAGGAATCTCCAGGATGCGTTTCTCAAGCGTCAACAGCTTGCGAATATTTGTAACCAGCTCCTGGCGCAAAGTGTCGAGAGGGGTTCGACACAATGCGAGGAGGTTGAAGGACATGTTGTCGGACTCGTATTGCAGCATGCGTGCCTCAATTATCGGGCGGACAACGGCCGTCCAGTCGTCAGAATATTGTCCGAGACATACGGGATCCGACTGCAGGCCATCTAGCTCCCAGATTTTTCCGTCGGCGGTGGGCACATAGGCAATGAAGTGGAAGGCAGCCTCCGTCACTGACTTCTTCTTCCTGCCCTTGGTGAATCTGGCACGCTTCTTCTTCGAATCGTCGTACTCGTTCAGTAACATCAGATCCGCGTTGAGCAGATCCAGACGTCTTGCGAGAGAGTTATGGGTGGTTCGGATGAACGAATTGGCGCTGAGAGCATGGCCACGGATAGGAGCTGACAGGTCCTGGGTGGCTTTCTTGAACTCCTCGAGCTTCTCACCCAGCTTGATATCCTTACCGTTCATGACGATGTTGAGCAGTGCAACCGTGGCACATGCGTTATCTGTGGTCTTGGGCCACACATTAGCTTTCGATGTAGATACACTCGATTGGTGCTGAGAGCTTACTTGATTCGCAAACCAGACATTGTCAGGACAATCTGGAAGGTCATCCTCGCGATCCTCCTCGACGTACTGGTAGAGGAAAATTAGGCCATGAACAGGTTTCCTAAGAAGAGAGTCAGAGCAGTCCAGGGAGGCCTTATATGTTAGGATTGGCTCACGGTAGGAAGGCCAGTGATCCCTCGTCAACTGAGAATAGCTCTTGAACCTTGACATCCTCCACTCCTAGCTCCTTTAGAATGACATTGAAGAATGACTTACATTGTTAGCACCTGAATGGCATTGAAAATATTTTTGTGCGACTCACCGGCTCAGATTCTAGTTCGACCCAGCCGAGCCACTTCTGCAGCTCACCAGAACTGAGAGCAGCTAGTGATGCCTCGCGCAGGTTTTCAGGTAGGTTGTATACTGGAGCTGCAATTGCAGCCTTTCTTTTGGGGTTTCGGCGTGTAGTTAGTGATGCTCCATTTTGTAGTGGCTGGCTGGTGGTGACCGTATTGGTGGCGAGCTCGTCTTCGTCACCTTGATCCCGGACGACAGGTCGTCTTGCCCTGCCCGATCTGCGAGGGCCATCATCGATGCCATTTGTACCTTGGTGATCAGTAGATACACCATTGGTAGGCGAAGTGCCATCAGGATCCTGCTGTGCAGGCATCGCGATGAGCTCTCATTGACTCTGTTGAAGAAAATGAAGAAGGAAAAGTGGCGATGGCGAGCCGTGATGTTGCAGGTTCACGGGTGTTGTCGAAATATGTTTGTATGGAAGGAAGGAGCGATGAGATTGGATGAAAATCGGGCACTTGAAATCACCCGGGGATTGAAAAAAAGGCACAAAAACTCAAAAGGATTTCTTTTGTTTTTTTAACCCATTCTCAGGAGCTGCATCTGTCCGAGTTTGACGACCACGATGGCAGTTGGCAGGTAGATGATGAGATGTGCCGCTCTTTTGAGAAAGGAAACTACTGTGGTGTGTAGCTACCCTGGCTAATATAAGTAGCACAAGCCTTGCAATCACACTTTGTCTATTAGCTCTTCTTATCCCCCTTTAAAGTGATCTGAATCAAGCCCTTTTTAATGATAGACTTATATGGTACTAGATGGTGAAAGGGAAGTTATCCTCTGATGAGACATACTGCATGTTGATAAGAGGACAATTATCAGTATGTTGTGTTTTAAAAATACCCTGTCCTGTACCTGGCAATAATACCTCCTCTCTAAATCAACTTTGTTTGAAGACGCTGATTACCTTACCTTTCTAGGTATCACAACTTTTTCTCAAGGCAAATTTAGAGAGAATTTGTTTGTAGTCACAGGTTGCATTTGATTACAACCTGTTATAAACAGTTTCCAAATGCAACCCCAACTCAATAATAAATCTTTCGTTTGGGGGCGTGCATTCCAGAAACCGGGAGTCACAATTGAGATGCCAGCTGTTCTGGACAGCCAATCACCACTAACAGAGACCAGCCTACTGCCTGAGCTCTGGCAGCTGCCCAGCCCCACTTCTGCTGTGTCCACCCAGCGCGTCTCTCTTTGATGTCGCGACACTGCCTGGAAATTTTGGCTGCTATGAAGACCAGGACCTTGGATGGCCATCACGACCACCAGCACACATCATACGCCAGCAAATCCACATCTACAATGAGATAGAAAGGTATGGAGAATCTGCAGATTTCTTGGATCTTCCCACTTTGCCAACTTTTACCCTCTCAAATAGCTGACTTGCCAACAGTGTAGCTGTCTCGACCTCGAATAATACAACTGACGCCTCGATTATCACCCATTGTCGATATCTTCCCATACGGGGAATGCCATGAGCGCAACTCCAAGAAGGGTATCCGGGGCATACCCGGCAACCCCGGGAACTACTAGGAGAGGCGCTCCTCTGACACCATCGCCAACACCAGATCCCACACCTGCTAGAAGCTCGAGGAGCTCTACCGGCCGATCACCACTTCCCCTAGCTCCCCAGAACACTGCCACAGGTGCTTCATCCGGCAGTCAGCCGTTCATTCCCGTGACAATACTCGATGCGCCGACCCAACGACTTTACGCCTGTGCTATCTACATCGCGCTCCTTGCGTGGCGATTCTACGACTGGGTACAGTTGGTGGAGGACGATACATCGTCCTTGAAGCTCTTCCTGAAATGGATCGCTATTGACCTTGCGTTCTTGTTCGGGCTGCCCGAGCTCAGGATACCGTGGCTCGAACTATCGCAACCAGCCGTAATAGCGGCCTTTTTCTTCCATGCTGTCTTCGACTGGATGCTCATGTTCAACATTCCTGTGCCGTGGGCATCGTGGCTGCTGGGCTTTATGAAAGTCTTCTACGACAGAGAAGTGTCAATATCGGAGCAATACGTGAAGGTCTCCAATATCCTGCACAACACCTCCTTGATCTCCGGTCGGCAGATTATCAACATCCTCCCCGAAGGGACCGCTGTCCTCAACCCTGAAGGCGAGTCATTCTGTCTTGGAGGAGACAGAAACGTCATCTCGATCCCAATTCACTTTAATGCAACCGTGCCTGTCGAGGTCGAGTTGATTCGCATAGATCTCAACACTAATGAGGAGGAACTCCTCAAACTCAGCCGTAGCCAGCTGCGTGAGATCGACAGGCAAACGAAGCGACAGTCATCCGAGACGGACTCAGGCGTTGTCAAGTACGACTATCTGATCAAAAAGCCAGGCGCTTATAGGCTTGGCAAGGTCCTGGATGAATATAAGCTAGAGGTTCAGCGGCAAACTCAGAATACTTTCGTCGTTCCATGCCCGAAGGCTCGAGTGGCCTTGTCACCGTCCTCAGATCGCTGTATTGGGGATTTGTCCGACTTATCGCTCGAGGTGGAGGGTACTCCGCCGTTGAAGATCGTTTACAGTCGAACCATCAATGGGAAAGATCATAGCTTCCACTTCCAGAGTTTGCAGCCTGAAGGATTCTCATCCCCTCTTCATGGCTCTCTCCGTACTTCTAGCCTCATCCTCCCAGAAGCCGAGGACATATCATGGGCTCGAGCTCAGAAGGTGACTGTGGGTCTGAACGAGTCCATGCATGTTGGGGGAGAATGGCAGTACTCCGTGGATGAAGTTCACGATGCATTTGGGAACGTGGCAAAGTACCTGTCGCCAGCAGACGATCCAGAACTACGGCCTAAGCCGAAGCACCTGGCTCAAAGTTTCTTGGTCAAAGAGAGGCCTCGAGCCAGACTCCGGGGCTGTGATCTACGCAACCCTCTCAAGGTTGCCAAAGGTCAGGCAACAGAATTGCCGGTTGCGTTTGATATCTCCGGACGTAGACCTGACAATACTGCGCATACATTGACCTGGCATTTCTCGCCTATCGATACCTTAACTAAGAGTGGAGACCATGGCGATGTCATATCTCCTGGAAGATATGAGGCGAGAAATGCACAGGATAGGCCTCGCATTTCTGTCCCTGGCCTTTACACCTTGAAGTCGGTTTCTTCAGGTTCCTGCGAGGGCGAGGTTCAAGAACCATCATCGTGCCTTCTACTTAATCCTTTAGAACCAAGGCTAAGCATACGATCTGAAGAAATACCGGATACTTGTGGTGGTAACTCAATCGGTCTTCGAGTCGACTTTGATCTTATCGGCACACCGCCTTTCATCGTCAGGTATGACGAGATTACTAATGGTGAATCAAGACGGGAGAGTTTCCAGATCAACGGAATGCGTCACCAGATGGAGTTTATACCGAAGACTGCAGGGCATCACAAATTCATCTTCAAGGCAATTGATGATCACATCTACCGCGGTCAAACGCTTTCCGGTCCGGATATGGTCCTCGAGACGACTGTGAAGCCAATCGCGTCTGCCTACATCAACCATCCATCAGGCAGAATGAGTGCTTGCTTGGAAGAGGAGGTTGAAGTCGACATCAACTTGCTTGGCGAGCCGCCCTTCACTTTGGAGTGGGCCTTAGTGCACGATGGCAAGAGGAAGCAGCACAAAATTTCCGATATTCAAACACAGCAATACAAAGTCAAGACCGATGCGCTATCCCAAGGCGGAGAGTATTCATTGGCTCTCACAAGTATCCAGGATAAGACTGGATGCCGCAACTTCTTGCAGGACGAGCTAAAAATATCCGTCAGACGGCAAAGACCAAGGGCTGCATTCGGTCTCATTGACGGCAAGTGGAAGACCACAGCTGTGGAAGGCTCAAAGGTCAAGCTTCCTGTACGTCTGACGGGCGAAGGACCATGGAAGGTAGCCTACCGAAATGTTCAGGACGGCTCCCAGGCTATCGAGCGGACTTTGAGTTCGGGCAATGATTTCCTCAACGTCCAGGGCCGCGGCACGTATGAGATTGTAGATGTATCTGACAATCAATGTCATGGCGCCGTCGATGCTAAGGCTGCTACGTTTGAGGTCGACTGGTTCCCTCGACCGGAACTGGGTCTCGTCCAGACCGAAAGCATATCTCAACACCACGGGAAGTACCTCAAACAGGATGTTTGCGAAGGCGATATCGATGGCTTTGAGATCAGTCTCAAGGGTAAATATCATATCCAATGTCTATATTACTTTCGCCAATCTAACGTGCAACCCTAGGCTCTCCTCCCTATCATGTCGAATATGAAGTTCGGCACAAACCTGGCCAGGGCTCTGGTTCTCTCAACAGGAAAGAATTCGATGCTGCTCTTGGAAAGGCGGCGATTCAGATGGAAACAACCAAGGCCGGCTTATACACATACACCTTTTCCGCTCTTGCGGATAATCTCTACAACAGCGACAAGAGGAAGTTCGAACCCGTCATTTTGGAGCAGCGTGTCAATGCCAAGCCATCAGCGTCATTCGTCAAGCCTGGCCAGTCCTTCAAGTACTGCATGTCAGAGTCGGATACCGAGGACACAATTCCGATTGCGCTGACCGGTGTTGCGCCATTCTCGGTGGAAATCGAGATCAAACACCAGAGTGGATCCGTGCCGGAGACTTACAATATTCCCTCTATCAACTCCAATACTTACGGTATTCACATACCCAGACAGCATCTCAGGTTAGGCACCCAGCATGTCAGGATCCGCAACGTGAGAGACTCTCGGGGTTGCCAACAGAAGACCGAGATCAACGGCCCATCTGTTCAGGTCACGCTTTACGACGCGCCGGCCATCTATCCCCTAGAAAGCAGGACAGACTATTGTGTGGGAGAGCGTATCGCTTACACATTGTCCGGCACGCCACCGTTCGAGATTCTGTACACCTTCAACGGGGCACAGCGAAAGGCAAAGTCTGCCACGACGGACTTCCGTCGGATCGCTGAAACGCCCGGCGAGTTCGCAATCGTGTCTATCTCTGACAAGGCCAGCGAATGCCGCGCGGCTGTCAACATACTCAAGAACATCCATCCCCTACCTAGCGCGATGATGTCCAAGGGCAAGAACGCCCGCGTCGACATCCACGAGGGCGGAGAAGTCGAGATCCTCGTCGAGTTTGGCGGCACGCCGCCGTTCGAGTTCACTTGGACGCGGAGCACGATCCCGAAGAGGAAAGGCGAGAAGATCGAGGTGCTTGAAACCCGACACGATGTCTCGTATGAGCATAGCAAGGTGATCCGGGCGAGCCAGGAGGGTGCGTACGACGTTGTCGCTATCAAAGACAAGTACTGCGCCACGTCGAAGCTGCAGAACGAG